CTGTCTGTCTGTCTGTCCTCCATCAGCCTCCTGTGTGCTGTCCGTCTGTCCTCTGTCAGCCTCCTGGTGTGCCGGACGTCTGTCTGTCTATCCTCCGTCAGCCTCCTGGTGTGCCGTCTGTCTGTCCTCATCAGCCTTCCTGTGTGCCGTCTGTCTGTCTGTCTGTCCTCCATCAGCCTCCTGTGTGCTGTCCGTCTGTCCTCTGTCAGCCTCCTTGAGAAAATCTGCAGTGAGGGGCAGTCAGTTGGCGCACATGCCTCGTGGTGCTCATTCAGATCTTTAGGAGGAAGGCGAAGGCAGTGTCGGCCCACCACTGGCCTGCCTCATGGTCACTAACTGAGAGCAGTTAAGGAAACGTGTAGTGGCCCTCAGTTGCTGAATTTGCCCATTGTGACCATTGTGTTCGGTCCTGTTCCTGGTTGGCTGTAGGCACACCATGTATCTGTCCCCTGTCACTGGTGCTTGTCACATGTCCTCTCCTGGGCAGAAAGACCCATTGGAGACAAGCAAGATTCTTGGGGTAGACCCCTGTTACCCACCTGTACTTGGGACAGCCCATTCACGTAGAGGCCCTGCCCACAGGGACAGGTAGACAGAGGGCCCAGCGTCAAGTCCATCCTGTCAGATTGGCTGGCTCCCCCGGCATGGCGTGAGGGCCCCTCACAGGGGTGGACACTGCATGTCTTGCCCCAGCTCTCCTCAGCCCTGCCCCACTGGGCCAGTGGAGGTGGCTCCTCTTCTGTGGGGTGGCCCAGAGGGTGAATGGCCTCAGGGTCCTGGCAATTAGCCCCTCCCCTCTTCTCCATCGTGTATGTGTCTCACCTGCAGCACAGCCCACAGTGTACCACTGCTGCTTCGGGCTGATCCTTGGACCCCACTAGGCAACACCTACTGGGGGATCTGCCAGGTGAAGTGACGGGAGTCTAGGTGGCCCACTGGGGTGGGTGGGGCTGAGCTGACCTCCATAGCCTGGTGCCTGTGTGGCCTCCTGTCCCCTCTCATGCCAGGATGAGTCCCGTGGGATGTCACCAGTCTCTTCCCCCTGTACAGGGGACGAATGTGTCTAAATCTGGCCGAGCTGGGAGACCACCCAGTGTCTGGCTGTCCTGGGCCTCGTGGGGCTGGGTGGGGGGCTGGGTAAGCACTGGTCATTGCGGGCACCACGCTCCCTTGGAGAAGATGTCTCAGCTGTGTGGTCACAGCGCTCTCAGCGACTGCACTGAGGGCTCAGGACTACACTGGGCTGCAGGTCTCAAGATAGCTGTTCTTCCTCCTCCTCCTCCTCTTCCTCAGGGGAACTCCAACAACATCGCTACTGTGGACATCTCGGCGGGCTTCGTGGGCCTGGAGCGCTACATGGAGCTCCCTGCCATGTTCCTGACTGCCTTTGCCACCTATGTGGGCCCCATTCTGTGGGCTAGCCACCTGGTGAACTACCTGAGTTCTGAAGCAAGCAGGTGAGCATCTATCTCAGCACAGACCCACACCAGTCTGCCGCTTGCCAGTCTCGAAATGATGCCTAGTCTGGCTGCCAAGGCCCATCCCTTTTCCTTGAGGAAGAAGCTGGCTGCAGGTATTGGTGGCTCAGCCTCTGCAGCCTGGGGCGGACCCTGCTCACTGTGGTTGGGCCAGGGGAGCCGGTCCCCACATTCCTGGGCATGAAGAAAGATACTTAGTGCTTGGTACCTGGAATGCTGGGCAGTGAGTCCCTGGGGAGTCCGTGCCCCCCAGGAGACTGGCTGTCTGGTCCTCTCCTCCATGGTAGCATCTGTGAGTCCCCTGAGCAGGGGGTGGACTGTGTGGTTAGGTCCCCAGCTCCGAGCTCCCGGAGCTTCCTGAGCACATGCCCTCCCTGGTTCGCAGGGTTTATCAGTTGCTGGTTCCTTCCGTGAGGCAGGGCCTTCACCTCACAGCTCTGTGGTTGGAGAGACCAGCAGATGGCAGCACATGAAGAAGTGAGCTGAGAGCTTACAGTTGGGGCACTGATCAAGGGTTCCCTAATCAAGGACTCTTCCTCGTCCGTTAACTATTTTCCTCTTGTTCAGTTAAGTTTGAAGCGTTGTGTTTCAGTCCGTGCTTCAGATTTGTTGGAGGAGAGTGACGAGCGTCCCCGTTCACAGGCCCATACCAGCTTCACGAGGTTGTGGAGCACGACCAGGCCACAGGCCAGAAACTAGAAACCGAATAAGATTGCACCACAAATGCCCCAAGCCGTGTCAGCTGACCATGGAGCCCCCCAGGAGGGACATTGCACTGTGTTGGGCACGTGATCCGTTTGCCAGCTGCGTCTTCCGGCTGTGTTTGTCTTTTACAAGGTGTTGGTGTAGTGGGGTTGCACGTCCCAGGGAAGGGAGCTGGTCACTGCCTGTGAGTCCATCTTCCTGTGTGGTCTCCTGCCTGAGGGGCCGTGGCGGAGGTTGGAGCATCCTCCTCTAGGAGCTAATGAGGGTGTAGGGAGATGTCTACATGTGCACACACGTCCATGTGCAGACTTGGCACATGCACACATGGGCCCACACATGTGAGGTGCACACGAGCTCATTCACGGGCACATCTGTGTGTATGTGTACATTTTCACACATGTGTGGGCTCGTGTGCATGTGGGTGTGTGCTCACGTGCGTGCATGTGTATGCATGCCCACATGCTCACACAGACACGTGTGTACCTATATGCCCACTCATGCGCCTACATGCGAGTGCACACACACACACATTTACTTCTGTCCTGCCTTGTGCCTTTGGGGTCCCTTCAGGGAACCCCTCCCTCTACTACCGATTCTCAGCCAGATGTGGAACCAGGAAGACTCCTGCGCTGTGTGCCTCACGCCTGCAGCCTCAGGGCATCACTCACACCAGTGGTTCCAGGTATCTGTCCACGCGCCCTGCTACTGCTGCTTTGAGTCTAAAGGAACCACACTGAGGAGCCCGCACAGAGCAGCCCACGCTCACAGCCTGGGCCGGATCTGAGGGGGTGCCATGGGGCTGGACAGTCTGACTTTTAGCTATGGAATTGTCATGGGCCCTGGACATTCTGGTGTCCTTACTGTGTGCAATCCTGATCTCCTTTACCCGGCCTTCCCCAGGAGCTGGGCCATCATCGGACTATGCCAGACCGTGGCCCAGACTCTCACCTGCCGTGTGTGTGAGTGTGGGGCTGGGGCAGTGGTGGGGTGTGTATGTGGGGGTGTGGGGAGGAGACATCTGTGTATGTGGAGGGAGGTGATTTTGGGTTTGGGGGGATATATGTGTGTGGTGGGGTGTGGGGGTGCTTATATGGGGTGTATGTGTGTAGGGGAAGGCATAGAGTGCGTAGATGTGTGTGATGAGGGTGTATGTTTGTATGGGGAGTATGTGTGTGCAGGATCTATAGGATGTGTGATGCGTGTCTGTAGGTATGTGTATGTATATATATATACACACATACATACCACACACTGACATACACACACATATGCACCCACATACCCCACTCACAAGCATACATACACACATACCGTATGCATGCCTCCACCCTGACTGCACACATCCACACATGCGTGCTCCTTAACCCCCCACTCACCTATCTCCCCACACATAACACATCCCGCATGCATACATACATCATACACACACGTTGTTGTTGTTAGGTGCCATCGAGTTGGTACCGACTCATAGCAACCCCATGCACAGCAGAACGAAACACGGGGCCAACTTCACTACCGTTGCCACACTTGAGTCCGTCAATGCTGCCACTTGGCCAATCCATCTCGTTGGGGGTCTTCCTCTTTTTCTCTGACCCTCCACCTTACCAAACATGACATCCTTCTCCAGTGACA